CCCCGTGTTGCTGCAGCGCGATAGATGTAGGCGCAGACCTTCGGCTTCCTCAACAGGAACCGAGGGCCCGCGCCCCTCGCCTGCCTCGCCGTCGTCCGCCCGTGTGCTCGCCCGCGCGCCGCCACCGCGCTGCCTAAGGCAAGGAGGAAAGGAGAGCTTAATGTGTGATAGAGTTACGTGTGATGAACATGTGTGCGCAAAGGGGCCGCCTGCTGCTGCTGCTCGCGGGTTGCGCCGAGAAGTCCACATCCCCGCGTGCGCGGTTGTTGGTCCGGACCAAACGCTGCCATGTTGGCGGTATGCCAGACGCGAAATAGCGCAGTGCATTCGGATCGAGGTAGCCGGTCGATCTCGAAGGCGACACCTCGCATTTGCCCACGAGCAAATAGACGGTTCCGTTGACAGTTCGAAACCGCGTGGAAGCGCGGGCACTGTCTCCCAGCCGCTCCACGCACCCACTGGTCCTCCACCAGTCGCTCGAGCTGCTCGTCTTGCCAACAAAGCATAGCCGCCACTTTCCATCGATCTCGTAGATAGCGGGGAACCACCTCCTCAGCTCCGTCTCCTGGCGCTCCTCTGGCGCCGCGGCCTCCCCGACTCTCCTCGCGTACGCGACAGCCGCCTCCACTGCGGTGCCAAAGCTTCCGAGGAAGATACGCGGCGCACCCCGCCCACCCACCTTGGTCTGGGCGCAAAACTTGCCTCGCTCCAAGTAGACCCCCAAATAGCCGGTGGCGCTATTGGGGGACAGGTGTAGCCGCATCCCGTCCGCCTCGGTCACGATTGGTACCTCCTCCGCTGCCTCCTCCGCCTCCTCCTCCTCCAACCGCCCAATCCCGCCCTCGAGGTCCGCCTCCTCAAAGTGCGCGCCCTCGAGGTCCGCCTCGAACGCCTCCGCCTCAGCCTCCTCCGCCTCCGCCTCCTCCAACCCCCCGATCTCGGCTCCGCTCTGCAGCCCCTGCTCCGGCGCCGCCTGCTCCGCCGCCGCCTGCTCCGCCCTGCGCCGCCTGCTCCGGCGCCGCGGTTCGGCCCCTCGGCTCGGGGGGGGCTGCGACCGAGGTGGCTCACTGTCGCCGCCCACGCCCTCATTGCCTAGGATGAAGGTTGTGGAGGGAATTGAAAGGAATATTGCGCTAGCCTAGGCTAGAATCGTAGGCGGGCCTGAGCCGTGCGACAGGAGAAGCGCCTCGTATCCGCGCTTGAGAAGTGTGCTTGCAGTCGAGGGAAGACCGAGGGCAACGAAACAAAGTGACTGC